AAACTCGGCTTTCGGTGAAAATTAATTTATATCTGAATTTTATGAAAATTAATTTTTAACTGTTTTACAAACGAATTTATTTTGATGAAAAGTTAAATTTCAATTAATTTTAAAGAGAAATGAATACGGAAGACGGTCATTGTATGTAATAAGATTTTGATGTAAAAATAAAATAGAATACATTACAGACATTTTTAGTAAGATTTTAAATTTCAACAGAGAGAAGAACAACAAATCATAAAATAAAAAATCAAAAGAACAATAATTGAATGAAAAGAATGTGATTTGTTGAAATTACTAACATATGCACTAGTTACTCAAGTAAAAGAACTGAATGAAAAGAATGTGATTTGCTCAAACCACTGGCAAATGCACTAGTCGACCAAGTAACATATATAGTGTGTGAGTAAAGTATCGATTCTAGAAGGGTTGTTAGTTAAATAAGTACCAAAACAACTAACTCTAGATTTATTTGTACAATCAAAGAGAAAGAAAAGTTAGTAAACAAAAAAAAAATTAATTAATTAAAATAATGTTCACTAAGATATGACATACTAAAGCATTCAACTTCACAATAATTAATTAATATAGATCTCAGATGCAATCCCTCATGTGGCCCAGTGGTGGTCACGCTGTCCATTAGGCAGCAGGTGGAATACATCCAATTCCAAGATTTGACCCACTACAAAGCTACAGATACTAACATCTAATTTAAACATCTTCTCCTGTCAAAAAAAAATATATAGATCTCAGATTAATATTAATATGCTTTTAAGATGGTTATTATTAATGTGACAGTAGAATTTTTTATTCTAGAACCTATTAAGATGGCTATTTGATATATTTTCTTAAGTTATAGTGAATCTAGTGTTGCTGACAGTAGAACCTATTATATTTCTATGTAAGTTTAAATAGGTAAGATGCATTAGATTTTATGAAACTCCCAAATTTATGTAGGATCTTTTGAGTCCACTTGTCAGTAGCACTGGTACGTTTCAAGCTTTGGCTTAATTTATGGTATATATTATTATTATAAACTAGTCTTTAGCCCCCAGCTGGTAAGGAAGCTAATCGAGGAGGATGGTCGGGAGACTTTGGGGGCGCCTATCAAACTCCTCACTGATACGATTTAATCTCTATTATGTTTTTTTGTCAATTTTAATAGGGATCAAACAATAGGGAAAATAATATATACTCATCTTTAAGTAGTATTCCAAAAAAAAAAAAAAATGAAAATCATAAGAAACAATATCAAATTGATTATGTTACTTTACATATATAGTCTTAATGACTAAATTAGTTCATTGTTAAAAATTAAAAAAAAATAAAATTTGAGTTATGAACACAAGAGTAACAAACATGTTAAAAGAAAAAAAGAAAAAAAAAAGAAAAAAACCAAAATTCTAGGCGTTGAAATCTTAATTTTGTTTGTCTTGGCCTTGATATTTTATTATTATTAAGGGCGGTGGTATAAGGATAACATTTTTATATCACTTTTTGATACAACATTCCACATATCATTAAATGAGTGAATGCATTTAATATCATAGGTCTCATATGAATAAAAAGAACTAAAATCATTTTACTATTATTAAATTTCTTGTGATCCACTATTTTATCTTACAAAAATGGTTATTAAAAACCTGGAACTGGAAGCACTGCTAAATTGTATCAATACCCAAAAACGAGGTTACGACACCAATTGCCTAAAGTAACTAATGACAATGGGAAGGACTGAGCAAGAAGAGTTAAATTTTTGATTTAAAGTTTGTTAGGGGCCGCGCGAACGCAGGCCCCCGCTGCCACAAATAATGACGTAGGCTCTCCCACTGGGGGAGACCTTAGACAAATGCACCTCCCATGTGCAATGGAGGTCACTTGCCTAGGCCATGGGCCTTGTTGATCACCCATTGACCTCGTCCAGGTAAGTATATTTAGTTGTTGGGGGAAGATATTTTTTATACCTCCACCTCATCTTTCTTCTTTTATTATTTGTTGATGTGGGATTTTGGTTAACCCACTACAAGATTAAAAAATTAATGGAATAAAAATTGCACCACCACAAGAAAGATGGAATTAAAGTGGTTCAGCTCCAATTTAATTAAGCCTACGTCCACTGGTACTCACAAGGAAAAATTCACAATTAAAATAGGGAGATACAATTTGTGATACTCTCTAAAAAATGCAAAATCCCTAATTACACCCAAATTTTACTCACAGTATGTTGCGGCATGTGGGCTTTGCATGGTGGTTGAAAAAGCATGCAAATTTCAGCCTTTGAAATTTGGTTGCATGGGAAATCTCATGGCAGCCCAATTTTGTTGAAAAATTGGAAGTCTCATGGCAGCCTTTGAAATGGAAATTTGGTTGCTGCAACTTTGTCCATGCAACATTTATTATGCATGATTGGATTATGACTTTGGAGCCCATTGCATTCATTGTGGGTGGTTGGCATTTGGCTATAAAAGGCCATTTGGCCATTTGGCAAATCACACCAAGAGAGCAATCCAAAGCAAAGTGAGCTCTAGAAAATACAAGAGTTTTGTGAGTGCTTTGGGTGAGGGTGAGCAAGAGCAGAGTGGTTAAAATTATTTTGCTAAGTGTGTTTTTTGAGTGTGTCTCGCATTCAAAAATACTGAGTAAGATTTGCGAGTAATTGGGGATTGGGTATTTTTCTAAGAGTACCACAAATTGTATCTCCCTATTTTAATAGTGAATTTTTCCTTGTGAGTACCCGTGAACGTGGGCTCAATTAAATTGGATCTGAACCACATAAATTGTCTTTCTTATGGTGGTGCAATTTTTATTCCATTAATTTCTTATTCTTGTAGTGGGTTAACCAAAATCTCAAGCAATTTGTTCCAACAAACTGGTATTAGAGCTACAACGGTGGTTAGTGCTTAAGAAATTGGTTTAATTGTGATGGAATTTGGAGCCGAGTACGAGATTGAGAAATTTAATGGTGGCAAAAATTTCAGCTTATGGAGGTTGAAGATGCGGCCCATGCTAATACAGCAAGGGTTGTGGAAAGCACTAGAAAGGGAAGCCAGGCTACTGGAAACTCTACGAAAGGAAGAGAAGATAGACTTGAAGAAGTGGGCGCTGAGTGCAAATCAGCTCTCACTTTCTGATGAAGTCTTAGGGGAGGTTGTAGAAGAAAATTCAGCTTCTGCATTATGGTTGAAGCTGGAAGCCCTTTACTTAACCAAATCAGTCACTAACCGATTGTATCTGAAGAAACGGTTGTTCACCCTCAGTATGAATGAAGGTGGTTCCATCAAAGACCATCTTGATGAGTTCAACAAGCTCATTTTAGACTTGAAGAATATCGATGTGAAGATAAAAGATGAAGACCAAGAAATTATTGTTTTGTACTCATTACCTGACTCTTATGACAACTTTGTTGAAACTCATCTTCATAGTAGAGATCAACTCTCTATGGAAGATGTCAAGGTGGCCCTAAATTCAAGAGAATTGAAGAAGAAGGTGTCCGGAGACAAATGCGGTGATCAAGTAGTAGGATTGGTCATAAGAGGTAGACAAAATAATAGAACTTTCAACAAATGAGGAAAGTCTTGATCCAAATCGAGAGCCAAGCATGCTTGATGTTACGAATGCAATGAGATGGGACATTTCAAGAAAAATTGTCCCAAGCTCAAGGAGAAGAAAGCTGAAAAATCCAGTGATGCCAACATTGCCAGTTGCAGTGAAATTTAGATGATGAAGATTGTGTTCTATCTATCTCTACAAACTCCTCCGGTGAGGAATGGATTTTAGATTTGGGTTGTTTATTCCATGTATGCCCATGATGTGACTGGTTTGAAACATATAAACTAGCCACTGGCACAGTGGTTCTTGGTGATGATATAGTGTTGCCTATTGTTGGAATTGGCAACATCCGAATTAAGAGGTATGATGGGATGGTTAGAACATTTGAAGTTCATCATGTGTCGGGTTTGAAGAAAAATCTCATTTTCATGAGTGAGCTTGACTCCAAGGGCTGTCGATACTCTTGTGAAGGTGGAGTTCTTGAAGTCTCTAAAGGAGCTCTTGTAATATTGAAGGGGAAGAAAGTTGGTGGTCTTTATCACTTACAATGAAGCATAGTTAATGGCACATGTGCTGTGTCAACTTTAAATAGTCCAGATAAAGATGTAACTCGATTATGGCATATGCGACTTGGGCATATAGGTGAAAAAGGGATGATGGAGTTGAGCAAGCGGGGTCTTCTATATGGCCAAAAAATTGGCAAGCTAGACTTTTGTGAGCATTGTGTTTATGGCAAGCAGTGCAGGTTGCAGTTTGGCGAAGGAGTTCATCAAACTCAAGACACAATTGATTACATTCACTCAGACTTGTGGGGTCCCTTGCCTGTTGCATCAAAAGGTGGAGCGTGTATAGGTTGACCTCCATTGATGAATATTCAAGAAAGGTGTGGGTATACACCTTAAAGAGTGAGAGTGACGTGTTCCTCACCTTTAAGCAGTGGAATACGCTGATTGAGAAGCAGACTGGAAAACAAATCAAGCGTCTAAGAACAGATAATGGTCTTGAGTACTGCAGTGGTGAGTTTGATACTTTTTGCAAGAATAATAGAATTGTGAGACATCGCATTGTTAAGATGACACCACAACAAAACGGTGTTGCAGAAAGGATGAATCATACACTCTTGGAGAGGGCACAGTGTATGCTCTTAAATGTTGGATTATTAAAGGACTTTTGGGCAGAAGCTGTCAATCATGCTAGCTATCTTGTAAATCGGTCTTCATCCACAGGAATTGGATTAAAGACTCCAGAAGAATTATGGTCAGGTTCTCCTACTGATTATTCACATTTGAGGATATTTGGTTGTTCTGTGTATGCTCATGTTAAGAATGGTAAACTTGAGCCAAGGGCAATGAAGTGTGTATTTCTAGGGTACGCTTCCAGGATAAAAGGCTATAGATTGTGGTGTGTTCAGAAGTCACCTCAGTTCCTCATGAGTAGAGATGTAACCTTTGATGAGTTTGTTATGCTCCAAAAAGCAAAAGAGGAGTCAACAATTGCAAAGCCAGGCCATGGAGTTAGCAAGCAGGTGGAGTTTGAAGCAACAACTCTAGAAAAGGCAGTGCGAGATGACAACATTGTCCAAGAGAATCTAGATGTGGTGCAAGATCCAAAGCTAACAGATACTCCAATGGATGTGGGGGCACCTGAACAAACACAACAGCAATATAATATTGCTATTGGTAGACAGAGGAGGGAGACCAAACCATCTCAAAGATATGGCTATATAGATTATGTTGCCTATGCTCTATCAGTTACAGAACTAGTGAAGGTTGAGGATCCCAACACTTATTGGGAAGGAATTACTAGTAAAGAATCTCCTTATTGGCCTGCTGCCATGACAGAGGAGATTGAGTCTCTACATAAGAACCAGACATGGGAGCTTGTGAAGCCACTAAATGGACAAAAAATTGTTGGATACAAATGGGTCTTCAAGAGAAAAGAAGGAATCCCAAGGGTAGAGACACCCAGATTCAAGGCCAGATTGGTTGCGAAGGGTTTCACACAACGAAAGGGTATTGATTTCCATGAGGTATTCTCTCCAGTGGTGAAACACAGCTCTATCCGTGTTTTACTTGCCATGGTTACTTTATATGATCTTGAGTTGGAGCAGCTTGATGTAAAGATTGCTTTCTTGCATGGTGAGTTGGAGGAACGGATTTATATGTCTCAACCAGAGGGATTCATAGTTTTAGAAAAAGAAGATCATGTTTGTTTGCTTTAGAAATCCTTATATGGATTGAAGTAGTCACCTCGACAGTGGTACAAACGATTTGACAACTTCATGGTTAAGAGTAGATTCACTCGGAGCAACTATGATAGTTGTGTCTATCATAAAAAGCTTGGAGATGGTTCTTGGGTTTACTTGTTGTTGTATGTTGATGACATGCTTATTGCTGCCAAAAGCATGTTAATCATTGATGATTTGAAGAAGCAACTTAGTGGTGAGTTTGAGATGAAAGACTTGGGTGCAGCTAAGAAGATCTTAGCAATGGAGATTCACAGGGACTGTAAAGGAGGTAAATTGTTTCTCTCTCAAAAAAAGTACATTGAAAAAGTACTTGAGCAGTTTGGCTTACATGAAGCTAAGGCTGTGACTACTCTAAGGCTGTGACTACTCCTTTGGGAGCACATTTTAAGTTTTCATCAAATTTGTCACCAAAAACGGAGGAGGAGAAGAAGTTTATGGCATGCATTCCTTATGTGAGTGCTGTTGGGAGCTTAATGTATGCTATGGTATGTACTCATCTTGATATTTCACATGCAGTCAGTGTGGTTAGTCCATATATGGGTAATCCGGGTAAAGGACATTGGGAAGCTGTGAAGTGGATCCTCCGGTATTTATGAGGCACAACAGATGTTGGACTAGTCTATGATCGGAGTGCTAATCCGAGTGGAAATATAGTCGGATTTGTCGACTCTAATTTTGCCGGTGATTTGGACAAAAGGAGATCAACTACAGTATATGTCTTTACTCTCTCAGCGTGCGCCATTAGTTGGAAAGCTACATTGCAATATTAGAATTTTTATCATAATTGTAATGTATTATAGTGATGATTTTTATCGACAAAAACTTATTTTATCTCTATGAATATTTTTTGGTGATAAAATATATTTTTTATAATAAATTTTTTTATTTATCATTAAATAAGTATGCATTTGTGACTAATTTTTTAAATTTGTCATGATTATAATAATTTACTGCGATGATTTTAAAATTTATCACAAATTTTTGTCACTAAAAATCATTTTTCTTATAGTGAATCAACAGTTGCCTTGTCAACAACTGAGGTAGAGTACATGACAATTACTGAGGTAGTAAAGGAAGCATTATGGCTAAAGGGTTTGGTCAGTGATCTCGGGATAGAACGAAATGAGATGATGGTGTTTTGTGATAGTCAAAGTGCCATTCACTTAACGAAGAACACCATATACCATGAGAGAACCAAACATATTCAAGTTTGGTATCACTTTGTCCGGGAGGTTATATCCAATGGAGATATGCTCATTGAAAAGATATCAACTGACAAGAATCTTGTGGATATGATGACAAAGCCAGTAAGTGGAATCAGGTTCAAGCATTGCTTGGACTTGATTAGTGTCCAAATTGCTTAATGCCCCTTGGGGCATTATGGCACCAAGGGAATGAAGCTATTGGTCCTGAATCTTATTTTTTGAATGCTCGTCAAGGTGGAGATTGTTGCAGCATGTGGATTCTACATGGTGGTTGAAAAAGCATGCAAATTTCAGGCTTTGAAATTAGGTTGCATGGGAAATCTCATGGCAGCCCAATTTTGTTGAAAAATCGGAAGTCTCATGGCAGTCTTTGAAATGAAAATTTGGTTGCTGCAACTTTGTCCATGCAACATTTATTGTGCATGGTTGGATTATGACTTTGGAGCCCATTGCATTCATTGTGGGTGGTTGGCATTTGGCTATAAAAGGCCATTTGGCAAATCACACCAAGAGAGTAATCCAAAGCAAAGTGAGCTCTAGAAAATATAGGA